GTGTGCTGTACTGGGGATTGAACCCAGGGCCTTTGCATTGAGCTGTATCCCAGCTCATTTCATTTTTTATTTTGAAACAGAGCCTCGCTAACTGGACATTGAGAAAATAGATGTTGAGTTAATATTATTTATTTAGAAATTTAATGGGTACTGCCATATTTTTAAAATGTGCAGCTGTAAAATGTTCAAATTTTTAAATATTTTTAAGAAATTTTTAGCTGTCCTCTCTATGATGTTTTTGCCATTTCCTATAACTGACATTAAAAGATAAAATGTCACCTTTCAGGAGAGATATGCTTAGTAAAGTAAAATCTGCAGTTGTTTTTTTCTTATACTCTAGATGGCAGCCTCAGGAAACCAACAAAAGTCTTAAGAATTACCAAGACGCTTTGCTTCAGAGCGACCTCACGCTGTGCCCGGCCGGAGTCAACACAGAATGCTACAGGATCTACGAGGCCTGCTCGTTTGGCTCCGTTCCAGTGGTGGAAGACGTGATGACGGCTGGCAAATGCGGAAACACATCTGCTCACCATCGCGCTCCTCTGCACCTGCTCAAGTCCATGGGCGCTCCCTTTATCTTTATTAAGAACTGGAAGGAACTTCCTGGTATTTTAGAAAAAGAGAAAACTATAAAGGTACAAGAAAAGATTCAAAGACGAAAAATGTTACTTCAGTGGTATCAACACTTCAAAACAGAACTAAAAATGAAATTTACTGATATTTTACAAAGTTCATTTTTAATGACTAATAAAGGTTAACTTAATTATGATGTGAGATAGATGTGATGTTTTTAAAATAATACATAGTGTGTGAATATGTGTGTGTGTGTGTGTGTGTGTGTTTATAAATGTCCTTTAAAGTACCCTGGGAAATGCTAGGTTATGTATGTAACATTGACCAAGTGTTGCCCTTATTGGACCACTTCTATGTACAAGCTAAAAATGAGGGCAAAATGTTACTCAGATTCATTTCTACAAAGTTGAGTGATTCAGTGTTTATCAACTTTCCTCACACATTTAAACCCACCCTGTGGAATGGTAGTTACCAGGAGCTGGAGCATTTGGATGGGTAGCTTTAAGGATCAGTGTGGTCAAAGAAAACAAAATTCCAGTTAGGAGGAATAAGTTAATAAGCTCTGTTGTACAACATGATGACTATTTTAATAACAATATAGCCTTAAAATGCTAAGAATGGACATTAAGTGATAACTGTCTGAGGTACAGTAGTACATATGTTAATTAGCTAGATTGGTCTGTCTACCGCCAGGAATGGTGGTGCACACCTATAATCACAGCTGTATGGGAGGCTGAGGCAAAAGGATGTCAAGATCCAGGCCAGCCTGGGCAACTTAGTGAGATCTTATCTCAAGAAGGGGTAGGAATGTGGCTTAGTGGCAAACTACTTGCCTAGCATGCAGGAGGTCCTGGGTTCCATTCCCAATGCAGCCAAAAATAAAAGTACCCAATAAATAGTTTCTCTGCCAATTTAAAAAAATAGTAATAGAAACCCATTCAAGGGAAGCACAATTATGTAGTAAATACCCTGCTCTTTCAGACCCAGCTACTCCTCAAAAATCCACACAACCCACCTGGCTTCTTATCACAGAGGGTGGTGCCACCATGTCCTTCACAACCTGAACACAGTACTGCTTAAACTTCTCAGGGGATCTTTCATTCACCCACCCTTTCTCCATGATGTCTTGTGACCGTCTCCACCCTGCAGTGAAGTTGTTCTGTAACTTCTGATTCCCAGGGTAGCTCAGTCTTAGACAATAAGCTCCTTCCCAAAATGGCTATAGGCACCTAAGTTAGATAGAAATTAATATAATCTTTTTGAAAAAAATTGGCAGAGTAAAGATTGGTAGTAAAAAGATAGCCTCTATGGTACCTGGAATTGAGACACCTGAAAAGCAATTTAGAGAAGAAAAGAAGAAGTAGAGGTCTGGGAATCAAGAAAGTGTTGACAAGAAAATTAGAAACTACAGAGAAACTGAAAACCAGGCAATTTGGGCTCTCAAAGAAGACATGAAAATAAAGATATCAGAATTTTGGCTGGAGGTGCATCTAAAGAAGACAAGGCCTCAAGATAAAGTCACAGTGGCCAGACTTGCATACTTCCCTAAGGGAAAACCAGAACTTGAGGCTGTACTGCAATTAGTACCACCCAGTCCATTAAGCCCAGATAAGCGTATGACACCCAGGTGGGTGACCAGAACATCTGGACCCATCCCTTCCCAAATGTTCCTGTTTTAGAAGGCATAGGTAAGCCAAGGTTAACGATGGCACCCATATGCCCTTGCTATGTGCCCAGCTTCCCTATTGGATCAATATTAGCTAAACAGCTATACATGTAATCCTATAGGTTGATTATAGTATGACCCATGTTTTACCCACAGTGTGACTTTGCTGTATAAATTACTCCTGAGAAAGAGCTTCAGTAGCAACCCACTTGGGACCCATCCTGTCTCAGATCCTCTTCCTATTCCCCAATAAACCTTTCCTACTCTTCCTTTGTCCTTCGGAATTCATTCTTCGATTTCAAAGGACATGAACTCGGCACATCTGACATCTAGCAGGTTGGAAGTTACATCTCTCCTATATCAATATCACTCCCAAGTATGGCAGATACTGAAATGGATTTCTTCTCCAACCCTAGCCTGCCACATGCAAGAAATCACTTTCAGAGTCAAACCCCACACTGTATTTGCAGTGTACAATAACTGTGGGCTTGGCACGCGGGGGGCACTAGCACTGCTGGCCCATTTTTTTCTCCCTGTGACTGCTGACACTCTCTGGGCTTAACTTGTGTTTTCAGAGACAAGACATTTTTTTTGGTACTGGGGATCGAACTCAGGTCCTTGCACTTCGAGGCAGGTGGCAGAACCACTAAGCTAAATCCCCAGTAACACGTTTTTGATTCCCAGACCTCTACTTCTTTTTTTCTTCTCTAAATTGCTTTTCAGGCATCTCAATTCCAGGTACCGGAGAGGCTGTATTTTTGCTACCAATGTTTACTCTGCCAATTTTTTTTCAAATTTTTCAGATTTAGACTTTTAGATTACTCAAGGTCATGCTGGATCTAGCTAGGGCAGGTGCCTGGCTGCAGAATTTGAGCACAGTTCATATAAAACAAGGGCTGAAACAGCTGGAGCCAGATTAATGCCTCCAGTCAACAAAATGGTCATGAAAGTGTGGACTAAGACTTTAGCCAACTCAAAAGAGAGAGCTTCAAGCAAAATCTTTCAGATAATTCCTGGGAAGGAAGTGATTTTGACAAAAGCCTCAATGTGTGATCTTTTATCTTCAGTTTCCTTGGGCTCAATCAGTTGTTTTACCTGGCTTATTACATATTATCTCATCTGGGGAATCCTTAACTGAAGAATTCTCAAGGCCATTTTATAGCTTAATTTCTGTGGCGTCAGGGAATTTAACATCATTCTTTTCTTTTTCTTGTCTCCCCATTCATACAAATGGTCACAGATATTCCTCCACACTTTCTTAGACCTTGAGTTCCCAGAAGTGCATCCCCTTTATCAGAAGGTTTGGCAGCCCGACTATAAAGGACTGAACTGTGCTCCTGTTGGAGAGTAGAGATGCCTGCCCCAGTGCTACATAATTTTAAGGGAATAAGCCCCACCGATAGCTCCTGCTAAAGGGGAAAGGTTGGAACATTTTACAGGAGAAAAGCACTGGCCCAGTCTTTTTGTTTACATTAGGTGATATAAGATGTTTTGCCTAAAAATATTCTTTGAAACTTTTAAAGATTTCTCAAGGGTTCACAGCCTAATGGAAGAGATAATTACATAAGTAGTTACAGAGTGTTTACAGTAAAAATTCTAGTGGACATTTACAAAGAGCTGCGGGAATTCAGAGAAAGGACTTTTCAGAGGCACAGCTGGTGGGCTTGTCTTGAGTGGAATTTAATAGCTATGGTTGCATCATTTGGTACCAGCAAAAGACAATGGGCCTTTTTTTTTTCGGTACCTTTTTTTTTGTCTCCTCTAAGATCAATCAAGACTAGGAACTTCCAGGCATGATGCTTCAGGAAACCAAGGGTTCTGGAGATAAGAATAGGGAGAAGGTAACTGCCTGTGATCTACAGGACCATGGGTCAATGCAGATGGGGTTTCAGTCATCACTATGCGAGATATATTCCAAGATCCCCCAGGGATACTTGAAACTACCAATCGTACTGTATATACAGAACTGGTTTTTTTCTATATTAAAATTGAGAACTTTCACCTTTCCTCTTAAAGGAAGTACTCTACAGCTTCTCTTTGGCTTACCGAAAGTGGCTATATCACTACTCTTGGACTTTGGGGCCATTATTAAGTAAAGGAAGAGTTACTCGAGCAAAGCACTGCAATACTGTGACAGTTGATCTGACAACTGAGACCACTACTCAGTGACCAACACGTGGGTAGCAGAGACACCACGCACATGCTGGGAAAGAGATGATTCATGTCCTGGGCGGGATGGAGTGAGACTGTGTAATGTTGCTCCTTAGAACAGCCTGCAACTTAAAACTTAGAAATTGTTCATTTCTGCAAGTGCCTGTTTATTTATTTCTATTTCTAATATATTCAGACCACAGTTGACCATGGGCAACTGAAACCTCAGAAAGCAAAACCATGAAGAAAGGGGGTACTACAGTTCTTGTACCTTCTCAGGAAGAATTAGTGTCCTGCTTCCTTGGAGTCATCTGGCACAGAAGTAGGTATCTTCTGTGTTATGGGTTCTAAAGCAACTCACTTGGACCCATCTAGATGTTGGGAAACCTTAAACTACATTGGTAAAGCCATGTTCACTATTGTCTTCTCCAAAAATATACACATACATCTATTTCCACTCATTCTTAAGCTCAGTAAATAGTATTTCCCAAGCCAGAATCTTTAATTTCTGTCATTCCTTCCCAAGTCTCCAATTAAATCACCAACTTCTACGTACTCTGTTCTCCAAGTCTTCCTAGAATAAGACCTCTCCTTCCACATCCTCTAGCTCACCCTGAGCTGTAGATTTTGTCTCATCTCCGTTGGAAAAACTGCAGGCCCTCTCTGCATCTCCAACTCCCAGCACAGCTTTGGTTTCATTGGTGCAAATTAATTGTTTCTTGTCTCAATAAGCTTTAGAAGTAAATCAAAAATTTCAAGTTCTTTAAAAGAAAAAATGCTATACAACTCAGAAACCTACTACCACAATGTAAATCGTATGTCACAATCCTGTTTAAAAGCAGATGTCTCATTTTGATGTCTACTGAATAAAACTGACACTTTATAAACTGATACTTCAAGATCCTTCACATTCTGACTCTGGCCTCAAGTCCTTCCACCCCTCCAGTCACCCCTTGCTCACTGTTCAGGAAATGTACTCTTGGCTGTACTTTGATTGGTTGATTGATTGATTTCGGTCATACTTTTATGGAGCTTTTTTTTTTATCTTTTCAGAATGTTCCTCACTCTAGTTCCAACTTCTGTAGCTTCTCTCACAATAATAAAAATGTCATTCACACCATTATTTTAGTGATTAAATAATATTTCTTAATTCAGTTTCTGGGTGTTTTCATTTTTTTTAAGTCTACCTCCTCTTACTATAATATAAAATATATCACAGCAGGAACTTTGCAAATTTTTTTCACTTCTATCTTGTGTAAGCCTCTATTATTTTGAGACCAACAAAGCAATAGAATATGTATTGTAATACAAGTAGAGAGAGATTTAATTCCAAGTTGTGCCAGAAAGCTATGTCTGTCCAATCAGTGAACTTTTATTTAAAACA